TTTACTGCTTATAAATCAACGGGCAATGGTAATTGTTTATATAATAGTTATTCATTACTTCTTGCCGGTCATGAAGAACTTGTTGCCGAACTGCGTCTAGGCACTTTTCATAAACTTATCCAGGACAAAAACGAATATTTTATGCAGTCGAAATGAGACGAGGAAACAAAGACTTTTATTCCTCGAGAAAGAGTCAATAAAGATGAAGTTAGCATATTGTTTGATATTATTAGATTAAGAGATGAATCCGGAGGTCATGACGAGCAAACTGCGATGGCTGAATTGTTGAATTGTAACATAGTAACTGTTTCTATACTAGATAATGAAGCCGGTGGATTTATCGGAGTAAGAGCACCAAGCGGAGCACTTGAATTAAATGATATTGAAGACAAATTTGACGAAATTGCCAGCCGAAAAACTATCTGAATTTTGCATCGGGGTACTCGGGGAGGAGGTCATTATGTTCCTCTTGTGCCAAATGAAGAAGAATTAAATAATTCTCTGTACTTGGCTAAACTTTTATTGAAACAGACAATTGCTGCCGCGGCCAAACAAAAAGACATTAGAGCTGATAAACCTCCGCTTTTAACTGATTATGAGGTTGAATTAGAAGGAAATTGACAAGCCGAAATAGATAATGCTACTGACTCTATGACTTTGAAAAATCTTTATCACAGATTATTGAGTGAAGTTTGAGTGCTAAAAGGAATTGAAAGAGCAAAAAAACATTTTGAGACCGGGGGAACAGCAGACGATTTAGAACTAATTAAAAAAGTAATTAGAAAAATTAAGGACGATAATCCCGGAGACCAAAATAAAGTTCATGGCCAAATAGAAGAATCGTTGCAAGAAATCAGTTGAATTAAATTCTTTGCGGAAAAAGGAATTGTTGCTGACGACCAAAAAGAACTTTGAAAAAATGCCTACAACAAAAATGCCGATTGAGCCTTCCAAGCCTATCAAAATGGTTGAACTAATCCGCAAAACCCCGAAGTTATTGCGGGAAAAATGACTTTTGAATTGACAATGGAAGGGCCTTTTACTTTATCCTTTGAACCCTATAAAGTAGCAGCCGATCAAATACAAGAAGCGGTTAACTTAGCCGGAGAAATCAGCACTAAAACAGCTGCTAACTATGATGATTTAACCGACAACTCTCCCGGTAGTATTATTTTTAAAATGGTCCGTTTAGATGATAACAAACTTCCTGACGGTTGAAAAATAAATGATTTAGTGGAAAGATTAACCAAGCGAAAAAATAAAATTTGAAATGATACGGGCTTGACTGGTGCTGTTTTAACCGATGCTAAAAATAATTATCAACCAAATGAAATTGAGAATGGAAAATACATAAACATCCCTCTAACTACTGGTTCCGCCGAAGAAAAACAACAAATTTATAACTTCCGCCGAGTTTTTTGGCAACATGCCAAGCAGCCCGGAATTCAAGGCTTCTATCTAGGAGATATTAATGAAGACGGCCAATATAGAGGAAAAGATATTGGAGATGAAACCAAAGCGAAATTAGATACTGAGATAGAAAATGAAATTTATCTAACTGAGTTTAAAAACGCTGCTCCATACGATAATCCGCTTTCATTACCTACTAAGGCTGAAATTTTGCACTGAAAAAACGAAACTCAATTGGACGCCGCTACTGCACGGACTTACTTTGAAAATGATTGAGAAATAGAGGATATTGAAGTAGAAAATTGGGATCCGTCGTCTATTGGTGAATCTAGTGAAAACATTGGTAAAGCCCACTATAAAGGTAAATATTATGAAAGTAATTGAGATAAAAGATTAGTAATAGCCCTTCATAATGCTTTAACTAATGATGCCGACGGTAATGCTTGAACCGACCGAGGAGGACCTTTAAATGCCACTGAAATTGCTCTAATTAAAAGTTCCACCACTCGCGAAAAAGTAGCAGAAAATCAAAATAAAATTACTTTTCGCCGAGAATTTCGAACGGTCGGAGGAAATGCGGCTTTACCGGATACGCCAGAGAATAATACCTTAATTGATAATTACAATAAAGACGGCATAACCGGAACCCAAGCCGGCAATGCTTATAATCAAGGTTGAATTGAGCCAAATGAAATCCGTATTCATGGCGGACAAAGGCAAATTAACTTTACTCCTGCTAATGATGCTACTTGAAAAAACTACGATTGAGAATCCAAAAGCAGAGCATTAGTAGAAAAAATTGAAAATGCTAAACTGGAAATCACTAATTATTTTGTTACATATTCCGTAACTAGTGACGACGTAAATGATATTATTACTAACCAAAACAATTGAGAAGAATATTTAGAAGGATCTACTAATGACAATCGTGATCTGCGAAATAGAGATAGTGTATACACTCGGCAAAAGAAAATAAAAGTATTAGCCTACAAGGCAGCTTTCATGCAGGCTCCACCGGGAAATAACAACGGACGATTTTTTGGTCCAAATGGTCCGGTGATAGCTGATCGGAGTGGAGAGATTGTTGGTTGGTTTACGACTAAATTAACCCCGGTTGATGCTCGTCGTGCCTTTGAAAATGGTTGAAATACTACTCGTAATGATCATCATAATTACCCCGATAAAATTGTTGATGGTTTAGCCCAGTCCTGGATTAGTGATACCGGGCAGATAACTTATTTTCTTGATCCGGTTGATGTGGTAAATACTGCTCGGGAAGAAGCCGTCGCCTGAGATGAATTTTTCCGGGAGGGTAATAAATTAATTAATCCGGGTGAAACCGCCCAAAGAGCCGCCTGAAAAAACACTGGTTTTAGCTTTACTTCCTTGCTGGTTGATAACATTGGTGGTGTGGATATTTACGAGGATTCCGAAGCCCAAAGAGTTTGAGATAATGGTTGACAAGACTCAACTATTATGGTAGGAAAAATGGTTCCTCTTTACCAAAGTAATGGGCAAACAACTCGCAATTTTAATCCGCTAAAAGTGAAACGAAACCAACTAGAGGAGGCTCATCAAATTCTTACGGCTATTGCTGGTGAAAATACTCTTAACAATTTAAAAGACGATAGCGACCTGGCCAGACGAATTGCTTTATTAGAGGACTATTGATTACCATATGAATGAAAGAAACACGATCTAAATATCAAAATGAAAGACCGAAAAGTATTTTTAGAAAATCAACAACAACAACAACACACTCCTCCTTTTGGAAACTACCAAGAAGCAGGCAACAGCAACAATAATAATGATACTCCCAGCAGCAGTTCCCCCGGTGGTGCTCCTTCTCCTTCTTCTAGTTCTACCAGCACCAGTAGCGGAGGATGAAGTGGAGGAACAGGAGGGTCCTCGACCACTACGGCTAAACCGGAAAAAGAACCAACTCCTAGTCAACCAACTGCTT